CAAGACCTCACAACCTGACCACAAGACCTCTACAGCCTGACCACAAGACTTCTACAACCTGACCACAAGACTTAGAGCCTGACCACGAGACCTAGAGAGCTTGACCACAAGACCTCTACAGCCTGGACACAAGATTCTACAGCCTGACCACGAGACCCTACAGCCTGACCACAAGACCTAGAGAGCTTGACCACAAGACCTCTACAGCCTGACCACAAGACCTCTACAACCTGACCACAAGACCCTACATCCTGACCACAAGACCTCTACAACCTGACCACAAGACCCTACAGCCTGACCACGAGACCTCTACAACCTGACCACAAGACCTGAGCCTGACCACGACCTCTACAACCTGACCACAAGACCCCTACAGCCTGACCACAAGACCCTACAGCCTGACCACAAGACCTTAGAGCCTGACCACGAGACCTAGAGAGCTTCACAAGACCCCTACAGCCTGACCACGAGACCTCTACAGCCTGACCACAAGACCTCTACAGCCTGACCACAATACTTCTACAGCCTAACCACGAGACCTCTACAGCCTGACCACAAGACCTCTACAGCCTGACCACGAGACCTCTACAACCTGACCACAAGACCTCTACAGCCTGACCACAAGACCTCTACAGCCTGACCACAAGACCTCTACAGCCTGACCACAAGACCTCTACAGCCTGACCACAAGACCCTACAGCCTGACCACAAGACTCTACAGCCTGACCACAAGACTTACAGCCTGACCACGAGACCTCTACAGCTTGACCACGAGCCCTCTACAGCCTGACCACGAGACCTCTACAGCCTGACCACGAGACCTCTACAGCCTGACCACAAGACCCTACAGCCTGACCACAAGACCTCACAGCCTGACCACAAGACCTCTACAGCCTGACCACAAGACCTCTACAACCTGACCACAAGACCTCTACATCCTGACCACAAGACCTCTACAACCTGACCACAAGACCTTTAGAGCCCGACCACTAGACCTGGACTGGATCCTAATGCACCCAAAGTTTACTTGTCTTGACGTAACCCAACCATCAGTATTGGGGCCCATCATGACTGGGCCCCATTCCTAATAGTTAAAGTTGGGATCTGTTCGAGGTAGCGTCCACTCTTCCAGACACCTGAAGTAAACACCGTCAGGAGGGGGAGGAGGTGGTGAGCCAGCGTGACCACCAGGATCATAGCCACACCGGGATATAGTTCACACCCCATAATTATCCACCTGGACAACAGAACAGTCGTCGTGTTGTGTTGACCTTTATCCGTGTGGCGTGGCTGACTTTATGAAGATCACTGACTCGCATATCACATAAAGTACACCTAAGAAAGTCTCTACAGGTGTGTGCTGGTCCTTGATTTGCTGTAGTGAGGATACGATTGTTGTTATACTGTACCTCTGGTAGTTGTCGTCAGTAGTACACACGTCCTCTCTCACTGACGCAGCAGGCGATGGGAAGCAGGTGTGAGGTTGGTACTCCCAAGACGCTGCTGCCAGCACAGTACCTTGATATGGACCTCTAACCAGGGTGATGATACGCGTTTAGAATACATGAAGACATAACACTGTTGCCAGCTGATCTTCATCCAGCCCCAGCCAGTGCACAGCGGGTGGATGTGACAGTAGCTAAGATTACATCATCACTGTGATCAGGTTACACACACCCACACTGGAGGATCGGGTGTTGCGGTCTAGTTTACACACGAACACTGTACCAGAGGTTATGTTGCTGTTGGTTATAACTGATATTATTATGAATTAACCAGGGGAGACTGTGATAGATAATGTAGTTAATGTAGGGTTAGGTTATGATAGGTCATTATAGGTTAGGTTAGAGGTAATGTAGTTAATGTAGGGTTAGGTTATGATAGGTCATTATAGGTTAGGTTAGAATAAGTTATATTTCGTTAGGGGTAGGTTAAGGTAGGTAGGTTTAGGTTAGATTAGGGAAGGTCAAAATAGCTTGGGGGAGGTGACTATTGGGGGAGGCTGGAGGCCCCAAAAAAGTCGTAGTGGTAGTAGTTAGTAGTAGTAGTAAGTGTAAGTATTATGTATTAGGATATTTAATATACAAAAATGGGGGCGAAAGTGTGGCTATTGGGGGAGGCTGGAGGCCAATGTAAAAAACAAGAAAAAATTTAGTAGTAGTAGTAGTTAAAGAAACCTACTAAGACGTGGTCAGGTGGTCATCAGCTAACCTCTTTGAACCACCCAGTGAGCGGCCACCAAAGAAATGATTTGGGAGGTGACTCCCCTCATAATCGAGTACACTCAGGACAGCTTCCTTGCCCCATTACTGTAGATTTTCAAATACTGGCAATAATACCCCATCTATTTTGTCAGAGGACACACACAAGGAGTAAGTGCAAAGAAAATGTGGCAGCAATGAAGAGAAGATTGACAATGTGGCAGAAAGGGGCCCTTGATGATCTCCTACGTGAAGCGAGATCACTGCAAGAGAGACTAAAATTCATAGGAGACGGAAAGCAAAACACTGATTATGTTGCCAGAAAATTTGGTAACAAGATGCTTGAGGGATAATTGTCCTTGGCGGTAAGATCTCTCACAGAGGAATCTTCCGGTGGTGTTCTGCCAATAAACAGAGACATTACAACAACTGAAGGAAAATCATCCCCCACAAGTGAAGAGGAAGGCATCAGGTTCCAGGGAGCCTATATCCCTCCTAATGCTGTCATGTTCGAGAAAATAGCAGGTGGGATGGTGTGAAAAAAAAAACACTGAAAACACAGGGAGGTGCTGGCCCTTCAGGCCTGGATGCAGACGGTTGGAGAGTCATCCTCAGCACTAACCTCGTGTTGCCACACCTACAGGCTCTGACGGCCTGCCGCCTCATTCCCCTGGATAGAAATCCAGGATGTAGGCCTATAGGGGTGGGGGAAGTGCATAATGGAGGCTGTAAATGATGATGTCAGGGCAGCTGTAGGGAACCTGCAAGTATGTGCTGGCCACTAGGCTGGAGGGTAAGCTGCCATTGACGCCATGAGAAAGGTATTTGAACAGCGTGATTGTGAGGCAGTACTTCTGGTCGACGCTTCCAACTCATTCAACATAATCAACCGCAAGGCTACACTGCACAACATCAAGATCAAGTGTCCAAGCTTTGCAGTGCATGTTGAAAACACTTATAGGAACCCATCAGACCTCTTTATAACAAGCTTCAAGGCCCTAAGAGGAGATCCCACCATACAGTCAACTGAGAGAACAAGGCAGGGGACCCTGTCGCCATGGCAATGTACGCACTAGGCCTGTCTGTGCTTCAACACACATTCAAATTTGAAACAACCGAGGTCAAGCAAGTGGCTTATGCTGACGACCTTACAGGAGCAGGAAAAGAGGAGGACATCAAAAAGTGGTGGGACCTGGTAACATCACGTGGTCCATAAATAGGGTGCCACCCAAATGCCCGCTAGTTCTTCCTCATTGTGAAGCCAGAACACTATGAACGGGCAATGGAGGTGTTCTGTGGAAGTGAGGTCAAAATAACAAAGGAGAGCCAAAGACATCTAGCTGCGGTAATCGGCACGCGCAGGACTTCAAGACCGAGCACCAAACGGGAGTGGGTGAAGGAAATCCGAGCTCTGTCTGATATTGCTAAACAGAGCCACATGCAGCTTTTGCGGCATTAACCCATGGAGTCGAGCATCGCTGGAATTACCTGATGCGCACGATCCCTGATATCGGACCCCTCCTCCACTCTGGAAGAAGCTATCAGCGTCAATTTTAACCCAGCAGAAAGGTCAATCCTTGCACTACCACCGAGACTGGGAGGAATGGGAATGATCAATCCAGAGGAGATTGCTGCCACCGAACATAAGAACTCAGTCAAGCTCACGGCAGCCCTCACTGAGCACATAATAGCTCAGAATGCAACAAGTAATGTGGATACCAACGAAATAAACAAGATTCGACGGTCCATTACGACAGATCGACAGCACACCCAAAGTGATAAACTGCAGTAACTGATGCAGCAATTGCCAGAGAACTTGAAAAAAAAAGTAGCTATAGTGCAGGAAGTGGGCACCTCGAACTGGCTAACAACGTTACCGATAAAGGCAAAAGGTTTCAGCCTTAATAAACAAGAATTCACAGATGCCATTGCTCTAAGGTACGGTAGGCCACTAGAAGGTTTACCCTCCCAATGTGCAAGAAAGGGGGCTATGTATGCATGAGGCACGACGAAGTAAGGGATCTCACAGCAAATATGTTAAAGGAAATCTGCCATGATATCAGGGCAGAACCAATCTTCCTTCCATTTGATGGTGAGAATTTCCATCACAGGACTCCAAACACATTCAACGAATCCCGTGTGGACGTCAGTGCTGGATGATTCTAGACGCGGGGTCAGCGAGCCTTCTTTGACGTAAGGATTTTCGATCCCATGGCCGCATGTCACCGCAACCTAGCTCTAGCTCTCGATGCTGCACACAGGAGGAATGACAAGAACAGGGCATATGGGGAGAGAATTCTGAATGTTGATCAGGGCAGCTTTACCCCTCTGGAGTTCACAACCTCTGGTGGGATGGGACCAAGTGCAAGATGTTTCTATGCCAGACTTGCGGAGGTGTTATCTGAACGGAAGCAGCAGCCCAGAAGTTATGTTACAGCCTGGTTGGGATGTCCACTGTCCTTCTCTTTGCTTGGGTCTGCATTGTCTTGTCTTAGGGGAACGAGAGCATCGGCCTAAAGTCGTCAACGGTCGCAGATATCGACTATGAGGCAACAGTCACTGAATGCCGCATAGATCTGCTGCTCAACTAACTCAACACAGCTAGGGTGCTACTTTTGTATTAGGATATTTAATTTTAAGGTAATTAAATGGCTGTGAAAGGTATGGCTATTGGGGGAGGCTGGAGCCATCTTTTAAACAAAAAGCAGAAGTAGTAGTATCATTGTCATCATCATCATCGTCTTCTTCTTCTTCATCTTCCTACAAAAACTGACCCCTGAACTTTTTTGTGTCTTTCAGGGATGAAGGCCATTGGAAGCCGCTATACTCACCTCAAGAAACTACTGGTGTGTATCTTCATCTTGTTAACATATTCCCCCGAGTTAAATTAACGTTTATGGCTGAGATTAACGAAGAGCGATATACTGACTCTTGTTATATTATTTAAGTATGGGTTTTATATATATATATATATATATATATATATATATATATATATATATATATATATATATATATATATATATATATATATATATATATATATATATATATATATATAATTTTTTTTTAAGGTGTTGGCTATGATAGTTTTAAGTATATATTATGACGATTTTGTTTGGGTGTTTGAGATTGATTTAACTTGAAGTGTGTTGGCCAAAGATTATTCTAAGGTGTCACCCAGCCATGGAAAGTGTTTGATTTGACAGATGAGGAAGAGAGGGCAGTCTAGTGCAGTGACTGTAACTTTGCCTCAATATGTACTGGAACACATGAGTCAGTGTACTGTATTGGTATTACCCCAAACGGGCTCTCACGCCCGTGGGACCGAGTGTCCGTGTTGAGGTGTGGTAAATAAATTCTTGAGTCATTTACAGTCAGAGAGAGAGAGAGAGAGAGAGAGAGAGAGAGAGAGAGAGAGAGAGAGAGTTGCAGGAAATATTACGCTCTTCTACTGATACTTGATCGTGTTATATTTCCACACCGGAGGAGTAACTTGAGGAGAGGTGACGTCAGTTGAGGACTCAAGGGTCCAACACATTTTTCCCGACCGGTGGGAGTAGGACCGATCCGAGAAGGTCCCTTTAACACCATAAATAAATACAGAAATAGAAAAAACATAAACAAAAGCAGACCAAGAGTGAGATACGATGGCCGGAGGACAGATGGCCCCCGGACAGATGGCCGGAGGACAGATGGCCGGAGGACAGATGGCCGGAGGACAGATGGCCGGAGGACAGATGGCTGGAGGACAGATGGCCCCCGGACAGATGGCCGGAGGACAGATGGCCGGAGGACAGATGGCCGGAGGACAGATGGCCGGAGGACAGATGGCCCCCGGACAGATGGCCCCCGGACAGATGGCCGGAGGACAGATGGCCCCCGGACAGATGGCCGGAGGACAGATGGCCCCCGGACAGATGGCCCCCGGACAGATGGCCCCCGGACAGATGGCCCCCGGACAGATGGCCCCCGGACAGATGGCCCCCGGACAGATGGCCGGAGGACAGATGGCCGGAGGACAGATGGCCCCCGGACAGATGGCCGGAGGACAGATGGCCCCCGGACAGATGGCCAGGGACAGGCTCCCTGGACAGATGGCCCCCTGGACAGATGGCCCCTGGACAGATGGTGGCTGAGGACAGATGGCCCCCGACAGATGGCCCCCTGGAAGATGGTGGCCCCTGGACAGATGGCCCTGGACAGATGGGGCCCCCTGGACAGATGCCGCAGGCAGATGCTGGACAGATGCGGAGGACAGGTGCCCCTGACAATGGGCCGCCCTGGGACAGATGGCCTGGACAGATGGCCCTGGACAGGCCCCTGGACAGATGGCTCCTGGACAGATGGCCCCGGACAGATGGCCCCGGACAGATGGCCCCTGGACAGATGGCCCCCGGACAGATGTGGCTCCTGAGATGGCCCCGGACAGATGGCCCCCGGGAAGATGGCCCCTGGACAGATGGCCCCCTGGACAGATGGCCCCGGACAGATGGCCCTGACAGATGGCTCCCCGGACAGATGGCCCAATAGGTGGCCCCGACAGATGGCCCCTGGACAGATGGCCTCGAAAGATGGCCCCGGACATGCCCCCGACAGATGGCTCCTGGACAGATGGCCCCGACAGATGGCCGACGGACGTTTCACCGACGGACGTTTCATCGACGGACATTTGACCGAACGGACATCGAGCTGACGGATATTTGGCCGAACGGACATTAGACCACGGACAAATGCCGAACGGCCATTTGGCCGAATGACATATGGCCTTTTAATTTTGTATTTAATTTTTCTTTCTTCTTTGCAATGTATTTTTTGCACATTTACTAAAGGATAAAATATATTTATTGTAATGTAATTGCTTCTTTGCAAAGTATTTGCTTTATAAAACAAAGGATAAAAAGATAACATATTTTCAATGTGATACATTTGCATGATATATAATTTTTTTTTTTTGATTGGGGCGTGGCTAAGAACTTCACCTGACTTAACACGACTAGTTACGTCGCCCTTTCTTTGCAAAGAAGAAAAAAAAATAGGCCATATGTCCATTCGGCCAAATGTCCGCTCGGCCATTTGTCCGTTCAGTCTATTGTCCGTTCGGCCATTTGCCCGTTCGGTCTATTGTCCGTTCGGCCAAATGTCCTCCGGCCATCTGTCCGGCCACGGATACGATATACAGTATGTATGTTGTGTTGTCAATAGTAAGAGAAACAACTGAGACCCTGCAATTGTGTGTAAATGAGGCAGAAAGTCAGATCAGCAACCTGGGACTTGGACACATATGGCAGCAGGGTCTACCATTAGATAACATTATGCTTCCAATATCATTGCAGGTGGTAGTACCTCCCTGTTTGATAGCTGCCTGCTACCATCAAATAGTACTCTCATTCCCTATTTAACTCGTAATGTTAACATTATCATTAGGATGGGTTAATTTAGATCCGATTAAGTTAGGTAAGGTTGTGTTAGGGGTGTGTTAATTTGGGTAGGTTAAATGTTGGTTATATTAGGGGGTAGGTTACTTCAGGTTAGATTATGTTAAGTGTAGGTTAATTTGGGTTAGTCTAGGTTAGGATGTGAGTTCAATAGGATTAGACGTGATATAACCGAGATACAGACGTGTTGTAACCATGTTCTGAATGTTCTGAGTCATTTCCAGAAACATTATATTTTCCTACTTCTCAAAAGATTCACTGTCTATGATCCTCCTGTTCTATGTGTGTGTGTAGGCGTTATAACACCACAAATGGAATCCCTTGTACCTTGGTGACCCTCAGAGCTTTCTATTGAGAACATCACGATCAATGGTTCACTCACCCCCTGCCTCGTGTTCCCTTTATCCCGTGAACCTCTCCTCTGAAGAGTTGTATAGTGTGTGTTATCTGTCGCGTCTGTTTGTATCTCTGTTTGTATATATTGCCTCTTGCCATAATCGTGTTTGTCTGTTAGTTGTCAGTATTGTGTGTGTGGGGGGGGGAATAGGCTAGAGGTAGGTTGGGTTAGGTTAGAGGTAGGGTGGGTTAGGTTAGAGGTAGGTTGGGATAGGTTAGAGGTAGGTTGGGATAGGTTAGAGGTAGGTTGGATAGGTTAGAGGTAGGTTGGGATAGGTTAGGAGGTAGGTTGGGATAGGTTAGAGGTAGGTTGGGATAGGTTAGAGGTAGGTTGGGATAGGTTAGAGGTAGGTTGGGATAGGTTAGAGGTAGGTTGGGCTGGGTTAGAGGTAGGTTAGGCTGGGTTAGGAGTAGGTTGGGCTAAGGTTAGAGGTAGGTTGGGATGGGTTGAGGGTTGGTTGAGTTTGGGTTAGGTTCAGTTAGGTTAGAGGTGGGTTAGGTTAGGTTAGGTTAGGATAGTTGGTTAGGATGGGTTGAGTTGAGTTTGATTGGGTTCTCAGTTCAGAGACACACACTTAAACAAAGAACCTGTCGCCTCCTGTTGGCTCTCGGGGACACAAACACCAGAAAAAAAAGTCAGAATTTTTGTGCACTCATTTCAATACCCGGTTCTTTATGTCTGTCTGTTCCTCCCACGGTGGCGTCTCCCAGCCCCACAAGGCCAACAGGTACCATGTTTATTAAGAATGTGAGGCTAAGGTCAGAAGTTCTCAATATTAGAAATATTCACCTTGTCTTACCTAACCTAACCTAACCTAACCTAATCTGTCTCTTACCTTGTGTAAAAACGCCTAACTAATCTAATTCTATCTTATATTTACAATAACTAACCTAACCTAGTCCCCCTTAGGAGCGTTAGGTTGGTTAGGTTAGGTTCTTTTATGATATATGTATTCATTGTAAGTATCTTTTAACACCTGGTCATCTGTCTCGTTTCATTTAATTAATTAGGAACTTGATTCTTACCTGTATTGTCAATTGGGTTTTATTAATTTTCTGAGTCAGTTTTATTAATATATATATATATATTATTATTGTTGTATTTGTTGTTGTTGTTGTTGTTGTCAACAACAAGAGTACCAACATCTCAGTGACCGCAACAAGGCTACCAACACTACCCTGACAACAGCGAGGTTACCGACACTGCCTTGACTACAAAAAAGATTACCAACCAAAGCATAACCAAATAATCAGGGCTACCAACAGCTCCAGCCACTATCCAGGGCTACCAACAGCTCCAGAGACAAACCAGGGCTACCCACAGATCCAGAAACAAACCAGGGCTACCAACACCTCCAGAAACAAACCAGGGCTACCAACAGCTCCAGAAACAAACCAGGGCTACCAACAGCTCCAGCCACTATCCAGGGCTACAACAGATCCAGTAACAAACCAGGGCTACCAACGATCCAGTAACAAAACCAGGGCTACCAACAGCTCAGAGACAAACCAGGGCTACCAACAGATCCAGTAACAAACCACGGCTACCAACGGATCAGTAACAAACCAGGCTACCAACAGGTCCAGAAATAACCAGGGACCAACAGCTCCAGAGACAAACCAGGGCTACCAACACCTCCAGAAACAAACCAGGGCTACCAACAGCTCCAGAAACAAACCAGGGCTACCAACAGCTCCAGCCACTATCCAGGGCTACCAACAGATCCAGTAACAAACCAGGGCTACCAACGGATCCAGTAACAAACCAGGGCTACCAACAGCTCCAGAGACAAACCAGGGCTACCAACAGATCCAGTAACAAACCACGGCTACGGATCAGTAACAAACCAAGGCTACCAACAGGTCCAGAAATAACCAGGGCTACCAACAGTCCAGAGACAAACCAGGGCTACCAACAGATCCAGTAACAACCGGGGCTACCAACGGATCCAGTAACAAACAGGGCTACCAACAGCTCCAGAGACAAACCAGGGCTACCAACGGATCCAGTAACAAACCAGGGCTACCAACAGCTCCAGAGACAAACCAGGGCTACCAACAGATCAGTAACAAACCAGGGGCTACCAACGGATCCAGTAACAAACCAGGGCTACCACAGATCCAGTAACAAACCGGGCTACCAACGGATCCAGTAACAAACCAGGGCTACCAACAGCTCCAGAGACAAACCAGGGCTACCAACAGGTCCAGAAATAACCAGGGCTACCAACAGCTCCAGAGACAAACCAGGGCTACCAACAGATCCAGTAACAAACCAGGGCTACCAATAGCTCCAGAAATAACCAGGGCTACTAGGTCCAGAAATAACCAGGCTCCAACAGGTCCAGAAATAACCAGGGCTACCAACAGCTCCAGAGACAAACCAGGGCTACCAACAGGTCCAGAAATAACCAGGGCTACCAACAGGCCCAGAAACAACCAGGACTACCAACAGGTCCAGAAATAACTAGGGCTACCAACAGGTCCAGAAATGACCAGGGCTACCAACAGGTCCAGAAACCAGGGCTACCAACAGGTCCAGAAATAACCAGGGCTACCAACAGGCCCAGAAATAACCAGGACTACCAACAGGTCCAGAAATAACTAGGCTACCAACAGGTCCAGAAATGACCAGGGCTACCAACAGGTCCAGAAACAAACCAGGGCTACCAACAGGTCCAGAAACAAACCAGGGCTACCCACAGATCCAGAAACAAACCAGGGCTACCAACACCTCCAGAAACAAACCAGGGCTACCAACAGCTCCAGAAACAAACCAGGGCTACCAACAGCTCCAGCCACTATCCAGGGCTACCAACAGATCCAGTAACAAACCACGGCTACCAACGGATCCATTAACAAACCAGGGCTACCAACAGCTCCAGAGACAAACCAGGGCTAACAGATCCAGTAACAAACCACGGCTACCAACGGATCCAGTAACAAACCAGGGCTACCAACAGGTCCAGAAATAACCAGGGCTACCAACAGCTCCAGAGACAAACCAGGGCTACCAACAGGTCAGAAATAACCAGGGCTACCAACAGGCCCAGAAATAACCAGGACTACCAACAGGTCCAGAAATAACTAGGGCTACCAACAGGTCCAGAAATGACCAGGGCTACCAACAGGTCCAGAAACAAACCAGGGCTACCAACAGGTCCAGAAACAAACCAGGGCTACCAACAGTTCCAAATATGGAAAACTAGTATGAACAACACAACTAGATCACCAACACCTTCAACAATCACACAAGCAAACAGGATTACCAACATAGCCTAGGACAGCAAGGCTACCAATGGCTGCGAAACCACAAGCATCCCTGGGTGGTATAAGGGGTGTACAAGATGGCGTGGGGCCACATCCGGTGTGTGGTGATAGCATGGAGGCCACCCCTTGTATTATCCCCACTGTGTGTGTGTGGAGAAGTTAGTTTAGCCATGTATTAAGACCCAGTACACGATATGGGACCCCCCACACATGGTTTACTGGGAGGTTCGCCTCACTCATACACTCGAACCATTACCAGGATTATCACACACCCCCACCATCCCTCACACCCTCACCACCCCTCACCATCCCCACACCTCACCATCCCCACCACCCCTCACCACCCCTCATAGTGAAGAAAACAAATTAAGCGAGATAGTAGTGACTAGTAACGATGTTAGTAAGCAAATAGACAAACTAAAGCCTAATAAGTCACCTAGTCCTGAGGAGATATTTGCCAGAGTAAGGAATGTAAGGAAGAGCTTAATGCCCTTAGCAAAGTTGTTTAACATGTCAAAACAGATGTAGTACCAGAATCCTGGAGGATACGAATTTAATACCGATTTTCAAGAAGGGGAAGGTCACTATCCTCTAACTCTCCCAATCAGTCTAACATCAATAGTAGGCAAATTACTGGAAGCAATCATTTCAAACTCTATTCGAAATCACCTGGAGAAGCACCGATTGATCAATGATTCCCAGCATGGCTTCACAAGCGGACGTTCTTGTCTAACTAATCTATTAACATTCTTTTCATCAGTTTTCGAACCGGTGGACGAGGCACAATTATGATGTGGTATATCTCGACTTAAAAAAGCCCGACAGAGTCCCCACGAAAGACTAATTAGAAAGGTAGAAGCACTTATGGCATCAAAGGTGACATCCTTAAATGGATTAGGCGTGGTTACAGGACAGGAAACGAGTGAGCATTAACGGCACTAAGTCCCATTGGAGCAACGTCACAAGTGGAGTTCCCAAGGCTCAGTACTTGGACCATTATTATTTATTCTCTACATAAACGACATAGATATCGGCATAGACAGCAACATAAGTAAATTTGCTGATGACACTAAAATAAGGACGGTTATTAAATCGCGAGGACTCCGCAAAACTACAGGAAGATCTAAACAAATTTTTTCGAATGGTCTGAAAAATGGCAGATGAAATTCAAGCTGGACAAATGTAAAAGTACTCAGTATAGGAGATGTAAACAGGAAACCAGATACCAGATGAACAACGATGCCATAGAAATCCGACTGCGAGAGATTTAGGGTAAAGATAAGTAGAACCTTAAGCCAAGTAAACAATGTGTTTTTGCTCGTAACAAGGCTAATATTGTACTTGGCTCATACAAAAAGTGTTGGTTACAAGACTAGCGAGGTCATCCTAAAACTGTATCTTGCTCTTGTGAGACCACACCTGGATTCGCAGTTCAGTTCTGGTCACCGTATTACAGAATGGATATAGAATCCTTGGAAAGAATTCAGAGGAGAATGACAAGACTAATCCTGGGCATTAGGAACCTTGAGTATAGAGACAGGTTAAAGCATCTAAATTTGCACTCCTCGAGGACGTAAGTGAGGGCGACCTGATAGTTGGTGTATAAGTGGAGTCAGGGCTAAACAAAGGGACATTACAAAGGTAATCAAACTATCCAACCGGAGCGAACTCGTAATAGTTTTAAATTAGACAAATTTAGATTTAGGCGTGAAATAGGTGAACACTGGTTTGGAAACAGTAGTGGATGAATGGAACAAGTTACCAAATATCATCATTAACTCGAATATGCTGAATAGCTTCAAACATAGGTTGGATGGATAGTTCCTCCATTCTTATGTTCTTATGTTCTTATATCCCCATCACCCTCACACCCTACCACCCCTCACCCTACCACCCCTCACCACCCTCACCACCCACCACCCTCCACCACCCCTCACCACCCCACCCCTCACCACCCCACCACCCCTCACCACCCTCACCACCCCACCATCCCTCACCACCCCCACCATCCCTCACCACCCCTCACCACCCCCACCACCCCAACCCCTCACCACCCTCACCACCCCACCACCCTTCACCACCCCACCACCCTCACCACCCACCCCCACCACCCCTCACACCCCCACCCCTCACACCCCTCACCACCCCTCCACCTCACCCCCACCACCCCTCACCACCCCACCACCCCTCACCACCTCACCACCCCTCACCACCCCCACCACCCCTCACCACCCCACCACCCCTCACCACCCCCACCACCTCACCACCCCCACCACCCCCACCACCCCTCACCACCCCCACCACCCCTCACCACCACCCCACCATCCCTCACCATCCCTCACCACCCTCACCACCCTCACCACCCCCACCACCCCCACCACCCCTCCACCACCCCACCACCCCTCACCACCCCACCACCCCCACCACCCCTCACATACCGTTCTTCACACCTACACACTAAAAGTTTTCTGGGGAGGTAATCCGTAATAAACAATTATTTCAGTATCCAATCACAAGATGTATTTCGTAGCTGATACACCTTCTTGCATTGTGGATGGTCATAATACAGTGTCTGGGCACAGCAGGATACCTGTCTCGAGATGGACGGTACGTGTGACTAATCGTGTAGCAATTACGTCCGGCAGGACATACCAAATTTCTGGCCTTCCTGTGTGTGTGTGTGTGTGTGTGTGTGTAATAAGAAACTACGCAACATAACACACAGTAAATACCGTACATAAGTGATACATAAGACACTAGTAAGACTAATAATAAATAATAATAATAATAATAATAATAATAATAATAATAATAATAACAACGCCTGGTAATACCTTCTCTTATAATGTGATGACAATGTGAGTCTTACGTGCTGTTATCTGTTGTACATCCTCTATATTGTCTGTTATCCGTTGTACATCCTGTATGATGACTTCTCTGTTGTACTTCCTGTATGTTGTCTGTTATCTGTTGTACATCCTGTATGATAACTTATCTGTTGTACTTCCTGTATGACTGTTATCTGCTGTACATCCTGTATAATGACTGTTATCTACTGTACATCCGTATAATGACTGTTATCTGCTGTACATCCTGTATGATTACTTATTTGTTGTACAGTCAAGGATAAAAATCCTGTGCCTGGTAGTTTTGCCTAACCTTTGGTATGGCACAAGTCTTTGCTTTCTAAACTTCCTCTTATATCTCTCACCCACTTTTGCTCTCTAATCTCTAGCTTCCTTGAGAACCGATCCATGGCCGAGGATCGATCTCCTCTCTCTACCAGTAGTGGTGTCCCACAGGTTCTGTTCTTTCACCTACTCTCTTCCTTCTTTTTATCAATGATTTACTCACACTACGACTATTTCTATCCATTCTTTCGCTGATGATTCTACTCTTCACTCTTCTTCACATTTCCCCTTCCCCTAATTCTCAAACTAGAGCTGATATCATTACATCTATCAATGCGGATCTGTGCAGCATCTCCGAATGGGGAGGTAGAAACTTGGTTAAATTCAATAGTATAAAACTCAGTATTTACCAATTACACTTTCCAAATTAGATGATCTCCACCAATCACATTTCAGGACGCAATCATTCTGCCAAATTCTAAAATAGACATGCTAGACCATCTTCTCTAATATGTCATGGAAGCCACACATCCACGACATAGCTAAAGCTGCCTCGAAAGCTGGGAATGCTGTACAGATGCCGAAGCTACTTCACTCCTGAGCAGTTACTTCAAGTATATAAAGGGATTCATTCGTCTTAATTGGAGTATTGCTCTCATCTGGGGTGGCTATTCTTCTGTCCAACTGTTAGTTAAGGTGGAATCAAAGGCATTTCGCCTTATGTCTCTCCTCCTTTAGTTGATAATCTTCCTTATCTTTCTCTTCGCCGTAATGTTGCTTCACTCTCTCTCTTTTACAGGTACTTTAACGGGCAATGTTCGGTGGATTTGGCATCTGTGTACCGCCGGAAAGCCTTGGGCTCGTAACCTCTCGTCTTGCCCGCAGTGCCCACCGCTTCGTGGATGTCGGTCACACTAGAATAACCCGTTATAGTACATCCTTCTTTCCTCACACAACCAAACTGTGGAATGCTCTGCCTACTTCTGTGTTTCCATACTCTTACAATCTGCCTCACTTCAAAACGCTGGTTTACCGGCAACATCGTAGTGTAGATTAATATAACCTTTTTCGTTTCTATTTTTAATTAATTTTACTCTTATTTTTCGCCCTAGGCGTCGTTGTGGGTTCGATGACCTGTGCCCGGGTGGGCTATTCCGAGCACACGCACATACATGATGGAACTACTGGGCCCATTGTTTTAGC